TAAGTTTTTGTAAACACTTCAAAATGAAGTGTCATTTCAATAGGGCTTAAATTTAAACTTTTTGAGTTGCCCCCGAAATCCCCCTTTTTAGGGGACATTCAAAAGTTTCATAATCATAAAATAAAAAATTCCTGCTAAGATTGCAAGACCACCAAAAGGATATCTTTGTGTATTTACTTAGGAAAATATTATAAGGGGGTCTTGACTTTTTATTCACTCTGTACATCTATAACTATCCAAACAAGATAGATATCGTTTCAGGCTAATGGACTTATCATTTGGAATTTTACTGCTTTTTAAACTTATAACGTGAAAAATATTAGTTTTATTCATTGTTATTTTAATATTACGAAACATGTGCAACAAGTTTATTTTCGATTCTAGCTCGTGTCGAAATAGTGAATTTATTGGTCCTTGTGGTAAAATATAATGTTATGTTTATTGTGGTGTTTATTGTTATTTTTTGTTGTTTTTTATAAAGTTGTTTTCATAAAGCTTATGTTAACCACAATAATGCTTATATTACGTGTACATAAACTTGGAAACAGTTACTTTATACATGGGAATAGATCAAGCTTAAATATATATTTATTACAATTGCAGTGAGAATTCCAAATTAACATTCACTAAACTATATACCCTAACTGTATATTTTTTCACGTGAAAAAACCTAATTATAATCGTCAAGGTATTAAGTTGTAACACCTAGTAAAGTATTTTGGATCCTTAGCTAAATAACATTTAAAATAGTAAAATTATTCATACAATCTAAAATTTGTGATATAGCCAACCTGCGATGATAGAGAAATATTAAATTATGCTATTTATTTTTACCAGAGATACACACTGGAAGTTACACGGAAGGCAGAGTTATTTTCTAGATACGCTCATAGGTCACCCAGCCAGCCTCATTATACATTCATAACGGGCGCAGTCTCTTGTTTTGTGTTTACATATTTTTCAAAGAGGAAAAAACATCGCCCTAAAAAAATAAGGGATTTTGTGGCTATTTGGTATGTATCACATACGCATAGGGTGTTTTTTTATCCAAACATATTTCAATTTTTTAATCAGTATAAAGGTTTTGTTCTACATTGGAGTTACTAATATGTACATATTTTATGGATTTAATGATAAAAAAAAGAAGAAGCAGTAGGTTTTTATACATTATTTTAAACATTATTGATTGAGGAAGTTTTTAGTACTATTTGACACTCTCTATAGTCTAGAGTAGCATAGAAATGCCTTCGTGAAAGTAAATTTTCTCAAAAATCACAAATTTAAACTTCCATTGCAGAATAAGGGCTTATACAGATGTTTAATCTCAATGACTTTAGAAAATGTTATGAGAATTTTGAAAATGACAACGACGTTGAAATAAAAGCAATTTTTAATGCACTTATGGTTATTTTATCGAAGCAAATATAAATATTTTGAAAGTATCTTGTTTTGTCTGTTACTACCTACCTGCGAGGGCATGGAAACTTAAATTGGTGCCATTTTGTCAGTAACGACTTATTGGGCTTACACATAAAAATCTTTAACACTAACTTCGTTCCACCCTGTATATCGATGATGCAATCTTTCTTGGCGGGCTGTATAGCAATAGATTATCTGTATTTTATAAATCACTGAAACACATAGTTCTTGACTGATATGTGAAAAAAGGGGTTTTAAACTATAAGTCCTAAATATTGTTGTGTTAAGATTGGAAAGAACAAATTGGACTATTGTTTTATAAACTGAAAAGCACAGTTCTCATTGTATAATGCAAACACAAGTAGGACTGAATTTAAAACTTACTGTTAAACATGAACAACGTGTGAGTGTAGAAAGTGTTCACTTTGAACATCCAGTCACAGATTAACAGATTAACAGATTGATTACACGCCTAATAAACTTAACCTTCGTAAAGGAAAGATTCGTTACACATTAATCACATCTAAAAACAGTCAACGTTTAGAAACGTGTTTAATTACAAACAATCAGGAAACAATTGTCACTGTGAAATGGTTATGAGTCGAATAATCAACTTTATAACACATTCATGTAATATCTCGAGCTATGCGGAATTGTTGAACACAGCCGTTAGGAGTAAGGACTGTTTTATACAGAATGACAAGCTAGACAAAATTGTCACATAATTGGCTGTGACATCAACTGCACAATTCATTCATATATCTTTATCAACAATGTAAACCTTTTTTGTAGAACTAAACAAATAACCTCGTTATTGATTTTATTTAATCCATATGTACAGGACCGGGCCTGAATATTGTTATTCTTTTACTTTTCATTTCCGATATTATTGAATGGGTAAACTGAGTTGAGATAAATAATTGATTGCATGGAATATAACGTACCAGTAATCATTCAAGATTTATTATATTTTTAGATATAAACTTATAGCGATTAAATATATATTTGAGGACTAAACCCTGATTTGAAATAAAATTTTGTTTTATACAAACCAGTATAAACACACACACATTTATAAATATTAAAAAAAAAAAATTAGAAAGAAAAATATTGTTTTCATATATTGTTTCTAGTTATATTCCTGTTAGGCCTAAATATGTCACTATTAGAAGTACAATGTTAGTAAGTTCATTTTAATGGTATGGGTAAAAAGAAACAATAATAAAAATGACATGCTTCTAAAGTAAGCTGAGTGATATTTCATCAACATTCGTATAGAGCGACATTTATATTGAACCATAAAATGCTGAAATAAATCATACTCTGGTTATTTTAACATTGATTCTACAGCCCCACAATCGTATGAAGTCGGACCAATAATACTGTATGACTCAATAAACAATAACTTGCAATAGCAAGCTTATATTATGGAGACTTATACAAGCCCCTCTCAAGAGATCTTATGTGACCACTGGTTCCTGGTTTATTTTTGGTTCTTTTTCATTTATTTGATTACTGTCAATGCATAGGGGCTTTTATACAACGATTATTAAAAAGGTAAACTCGTTGTTATTGTTATATATAAAATTAATTGGAAAAAGTGAGATTTTAAAATGGGACTGTAATCACGTGTTCTAAAAAACACACCTATAGAAGCAACCTCGAGAATTCTCTGAGTGAAACTACTAAAAATCATGAATCCCGTAAGAAACAGAGAGTGGCAAGCTTGCTTAACGTAAGCATAGAAAAAGTTGTTCACAATTCATGAGTTGTAGGATTGTAGTTACTTTTTTTATTCTGGTAAGAATAGCTGAAATCGATCGTATCGGCTGTAAGATTACCTTAGTTAATTGTAAACTATGTGCGGAGATCATTGTTCTAAGTAAATTCTTCTTATTATACATATAACTTTATTATAATCAAACTTTTAATCGTGTTTTTCATCGTGTCAAAATAGTCACTGTAGACCTACTTGAAGAGGCCGAAGATGGATGAAATATACATTTTATTCTGAGAACTTTGTTTATGACTATCCTACTATATGTTTTGAAACTACATTTCCCTATCCTAGTTAACAAACCTAGTAAAGTCACAAATTCGACACGGATCATCGCATCATTAGACACACCGCTAACCGCATTATCAGCGAATGTGGTTTTGCCAGAATCCAGTAAACACCGGGTTCAGTTGTTTGTTTTAAAATTTGCGCAATTTGTTTAACATTTGTTCCGTATTGAGTGGAAAGCAAACACACAAACCAGTGTATTTGTATTTCTCTTATTTGCCACAGTTTGCTTCCCTCCGGTCAATATTGGATTGTATTCCTTCTCAGCTCAACAATATTTCTATCAATACGGATTTGGTATTTTACAAGTTGTTTATAACACTTTCATTTATGGCTTAACAGTTTTTTAGATTGGGTTTAGCTGTAAAGTTATTTTTTACATAAAAAGTTTATTAAATGCGTATAAGCTACTAGATTAATTGAAAAAAAGAAATTTCATTTAAGTTACGCAGTTACATGATGTACATGTATGAACATGTGATGAGTTATAAATTGTAAATTATCTATAAACCAAAATTTTTTTACATACTGTAGTTTCTTTTCATGTATTTTAAATGTCATGCCTATTTGTAATATTTTAATAATCAGTGCTTCGTCTTTAGATTTTTAAAGGAGTTTATTCAAGAGAAAGATCTCCTCTCTTTTCTATTATCGTTATTAATTTAGATGGGGACTTCCCCTTGGTGCGTATTTTAAGAAATTAGGAATTTATATTTTCTATTGAGTCTTCGGTCATTCCGATTAGGCTATTTTCACATAGCTAGAATCTACTGGTGATTTGTAGAATTTAAAAGCTGCATACAAGTCGAGCGCTCTAATCACCAGTGACGCGCCCCTTAATAGTTAAAACTTATTGTAACTTGTAAAACCCACTTCCTGCTGTATATATTACTCCAATACTGACTATATTATAACATTAGTTTTCTGTTGTAAAATATATTCATTAGCCATACATGTTTGTACATTCTTCCTAATATTTGTCATGTATTAGACTATTTTAACCCAACACATAACATTATAATTGTTTTCACTAATGCAAACAGTATAACGTAAACTAACTGAATATTATACATACTTATTGTTATTCCTAAAATAATCCTCAATACTTACATATTATGCATGTTTAATTGCACTTGACCCACCTCTTCAGTACTGTGTGGGGTGTTTTTGGAGGGAAGGGGGTCGCGTTTGCGCGGGAAGGTTGTCCCGGCTCTGTGGCCAGTCTTACGGCACACCCCGCCGCTGTTACCCCGGACGTCGCGAGTTCAGTGTGTATGTAACATATCGCACCCTGTGAGCCACCCTCCTCGTGTCAGGGTTAAAGGATTCTCGTGAACAAGATAAAAAATGTAAACAATATTTTGTTGAATAAAAAAAATTACTTTTCTATTACTGTAAAAAAATAAGTATCCCTGCGGTATTTAGAAACATATGTTTTGAAAAATGTAGTTAACTAATTAATACTCGAAATAGTGTTATTAATACAAATTATTTTACCAAAAACTAAATATTTATGTGAGTATACCTCGATCGCGAGGGTGGTGGCTTTTAGGGTGTAAAGTTACCAGGATCATGCCCTCTGGCAGTGTACTGTGGCAAGTGTTGTGTGAGTGTATTGTGTATTGTGTTCATTGTGTGGTGTCCTAGCTCTGAATCAACCACCCCTCCCCCCGTTATTACCCCCCCCCCCCCAGAGTACACAGCTGGCTGACTCCCTTGTTCCTAGATCTCGTTAGTCTCCGGTTGCATCAACTACAGTTCATCATGTTGTATAAGTCCACTTAGGGGTGGTTAAAAAAATCATTATGATTTACATATTTTATAGTAATGAGTTTTATGAAAATTTTGTTTTAAAATGGGAAAAATTTTCGTTTTTAAGAAAGATGAGAATCGTTTAAGAACACCTTTAAAATCTGTAGGAAATTTGTGTATAGTAGAGTAGCCAAATTTCAAATATTTTTCTACTTGTATATTTTTGTATGGTTAATTTTGGCTTAGTTTTGTTTTTAATACCGAATTGTGTTTAAGAGGCCCATTTAGACCTTATTTGGTTTTGTTTTTCACAAATTAGTTAGATACAGTGCATATAGGGTTAGGTTACTGGAAATATATTCAATCCAATAATCGGTCAAAGATCCTATTGATCATAAATGCCTCGTGCAATACATGTATTGAAGTTTATATGAGGACGATAAGTGTTTACTATTATACATTTAAAATGTAAAATTTGTATTTCCTGCACCTCACGCTCTCAAATATATATTGTTAACACCTACAATAATTTTATAAAGACACTTACTTACTGTATAAATATCTTAAGCCGATATGCGTTGATTACAAATTTCTGCTTATTGCGATGAAATCAAAAGCTGCTCTTTCAAAGGCGTTTCCACTTAGACTTACCGGGATTTGAATTGAGTTTCTTAGTGGAAATTTAAGTTTTTATTGAGAATTCCGAACGGTTTGGTCTCACAATGAATCAAAGTCTTAATTTGTTCCTTTGTGTTGAAGTTATCACAGGGTTGTGTTTTTTTCAGAAATGAATTGTCAACATTGGCAAATGGAAACTAGTATTGAAAAGTAACTTACGAGTTGTTTTGAATTTTAGTTTGTAGATAGATTCTTTTATTGGAATCTGCAAATATTTGCATAGCTGTGAAGGGGAAACTTCTAACTGTTATTTTTTTTTATTACAATTAAAGTGGGAAAGTGATTTTTAACAAATATTAGACATAATCATCGAAACGAAATCTTAAGAACTTGCTGATACACATTTTATGTGTCCTATATGGATATAGATAATGACGTAACTGTTTATTGCAATGCTACTCGATATATTTACACTTGTAAAGTTTTGGTTCAAGGTGGATTAGTTTAGAATATTTCACAATTGCCATCCGTTTCTAACATTAATGCCATCAACAGTATAGAGACACCATTGTAACATCTTTTATGTGCATTTACCATCGTGTAAAATGTATCCGTAATAATTAACCAATGTTTTTGCAAACGTATTTCATCATTTCATCCATTATGTTTTCCAAACACCTAAACAGTGAGTGATACTGTAATACTAAAACAAAAAAAAATTACTACACACTTAAACAAACTAATTTAATGAATAATCATACGTTTAAGCTCAAGTAAATCTGAGACATACATACGCCATCATTATCATTACAAAAGCGTATTATTAAAAAAAGTTTTCAATTTTGTTCGGGAGATTAAGTGATTTCCTACAAAACCAAACCCCCCCCCCCTAAGGTTGGTCGCGCAATATCACTTCAAAGCCATGTCAGAAACAGCGTACACAACGAGAGAACTTCATTTTTGGTTTTGTTCCGTTCAGAGGTTATAGTGGAAGACTCTTATCACTGACTTAAGGCTTACCTCTGAAGATAAGCGGAACATCTTCGAGCGTCTTTGGTCCATCAATTTTGTGTGCGTGGGGGTTTCAAAATTTCAAGTAGGTTAATTAGGAAGATCTTTTGTTTTCAAAGCTATAGCATTAATTGACATAGAAATGGTCTCTGACCTAAAAAAGGCTTACAGTTATTTTCACAAAATATATATACATATATACTGTATATACATTTCAGATCGATATAAAGTCTATTGATTCTATAATCGATGAGAAAAATGTATGAATTTGCAATTACGTTAATCGAAAATATTCACACACTTAAAACATCCACACCAATAACATTTATTTTTAGAGAATGCAAAGCGTTTAAGAGCAAATTTTGCAGAAGTTATGGAAAAAAACTAGCTGGTTTGAGTCCAGCCAAAATTTATTAATCGAAATAAAATAAAAATTCTTTAATAATTTTGAATTTGTCGGGGATTTAAATCGTACGTCTCATTATTAGGTGTCTGACGCTAACCAATAGGTTAGAAACCAAACTAAAACCATTGACCTAAAACTACCTGTTGAGTTCGTGTTTGAAAGCTAGGATAGTAAACCACATACATTTTTACACTAATATATAATGCAGGTAGACAGGAACACAACATAGTCGTTTCAAAATGAATAAAACCAGCTAAATCTTCACTAAGTCACTCTGCAATGACCTACTTCTAACCGTGACGCACACACAAGTAGGCCAAACACCAATCTCAATTGTTCAAACATTATGTGTTAATGACGTCATATAATTACCGGACCACTTGTTTGAGAACATAGAACAAACTATTGGAATTGCTTACATGTAGCAATAATAATTTCAGAAGTCAGCGTAAATTTCGTGTTTTGTTGTATTCGCTAAAATAGGTTAGCTTTAGAAATAACTCTACTTGACGTGCTACGGCTTGGGAAGTAGGGAGGTAGTTCCACAAATTCTTTCATCTTTAATTAACTTTAAATTTTACTCTATAAAACATTCAGTACAGAATTAGCATTTCCATAATGTTCCCTGGCATTTAAGAAAAATATTATTTTGTACCACTTTAAAATATTAAAATAATTTTAGAATACATTAAGATGATTGTGTTGTCATGTTTGTTCAGAAATAATAATCCTATCATCATGTAGTAAAAGAGACGATAACAATAAGCTAATTCGACATTTAAAAGCAACTCATAAGTGACAGTTTGATGGATCCGTGAGTTTTTATTACTTTGTGATTTTGTGAAGTAAATCCAACAAAACAATCAAGTAAACAATTCTCTTTGAACGTCACATTTTGCTCACACATTTTATAATCGGTTTAGAAAGATATAATTGTACGTTTCAGTGATTCTATCAGATTTTAAATGTTATCGGTGAAACGACTTTACAAGTAATTGTGTTGAAAATATTACTTTTGTCATAAAACGATGTAATTGGGATTTCGTTGTTCAATGAATGTATACAAATTTCCCTTTCCTTTGACAAAATCCCTTGTTAAATGAAAATGACGTGTAGTTGCTCGTTCAATATATTACATTAGTATAAAAACTTTAAACAGCTGATATATTGGATACATTCTTTAACATCTATAAATTAATTCCATTTATCCGTCTGCGTGTCAACAATAAAGGTAAAAAGGTACTTCCCTTCCTCTAAACCATAATTCAGAACAATTAAGTACAACGGGTAGCTAAGTGAAAAAAACGCACACCTAAATAAATAAAATCTATTAATTACAACCATTGTCATTAATTTGTTTGAGTTAACTTCTCATACTTATATAAAGCATATTCAATGTGTTTTTCATATCAGTTACGTTTTAGTGTGCTAATATTGACTAACTTTCTTTGATGGCGAGTCGGTTGTCTATAGCACGATGGACTTCACGACTTTACTTTTTGGTTGTCCTACTAGAGGATACATGTGACGATCATAAACTTACAGATATTCAGCTGGAATGAAATTAACATGAATCAGCAGGATCTATATGATTTAACATACTCCTGAATCCGTTAAACCCTATACATCCTTAACACCACTTTCTTCTGACTTGACTATCTTTTGGTTCAGGCTGTAGATAAAAGGTGTCTCGTTTACCTGAAGAGTACTTTGCAGTCTTATCTCATCAATAATGTTTTCCATCTTTACCATAACCATCACTCCCTCTCCAAATCTCCTGGGTGGTTGATAAGTTGCTCACCTAAGTGTATTTTTCAGTGACGTGTTGGATAAGTGTACTGGTGTAGTGTGACGCCGTGTGTATGCGGTAATGTGCGGGCATGCAGATGCGCCAGCCCCCCAGGTGCTAACCATGCCCGACCCCCACATGGCGCTGTTCGGCATGGTCTGGCTATTACGCATGCGCGCAGAAGTGCGACGCTGCGCAAAGTGTCGGCGCGAGGAGGCGAGGTGGCTGCAGGAGAACGCTAAACCTCCTGGGGAACCCCATGACGCAGCCGCGGCGCCTATTTTCACTGTGGAGAGAGCTCAGATGTCTTCGGCACCTCCTCCGCCCCCGCCCGCCCCCAGGACCCCGCGGACGTTTTGTGAGGTTCACGGATACAGACGGAAAGAAGGTAGAGAATTGTGGTAGTTAAGAAATAATGTAAGGGTAAGTGGCACAGTCGTGATATAACCAATGTTATAAGTTTGACAGACTAAGGGGTCCATATAATTGTACAGGTGAAAAAGTCGAAGGCCAAAGTGGGTTGTTGTGGGTGAAGTGAGATGATCTGGAGTTGAACTGTTGAAAACAGTAGTTGACATTAGTATGAGTTGCAGCAGTCGGGGATGGGTACAGTTCAACTGTTCAATGATATAGATTGATGTCACTCATAAGACAAGATGGTCAGTGTTTTCGTCAGTTCAAAGTCGAAAAAAGTATTAATGGAAAATGCAGTGTTTATTGGAAAAACATGAATGAGTTGTAAAATAAGATTGACTTGGCACCGGTACAGTAAGGAAGGTGTAATCTAATACTTTTAACATAGCAAATGTAATGTAAAATAATCGTGTAATAAAGCATAAAATATATATCTTGTCATCACAAACTTTTAAGGTTAAATACCAAGAGGAAACTAGGTAAAAGCTTAAGGTAAAACGTAGGTTACAGTAACAGAAGATCCATCTGTATAGTTTGATAATTTTTTTAAGTTGGACTAAAAAAGCTTGAATATAAATAATTGAAAAAGAGGTAAGGTAGGTACTTTATAAAGTAAATAAAATGTTAAATAAGACAATCCTAGAAACATAACATAAATTGAATAAACATTATTGTCCAGTTAAAAATGTTTTGAGTCCGAGAGATGCAAGGATTGCCGTTCGTGGGAAGATCTTGCTTGAAATAGGGCAGCTTATACCCACTGTATTGTAAAATAAATCACACAGCCATAAATGTTAGTGAATATAGGGCATGTCCAGTTGCATGTAGACTTGAAAACTACAAATGTAATACTTCTCTTGACCAATAGTTTTATGCGGTATTGTTTATGTATCCTATGAATCTATTTTCTATCAAGTTCTCTCAATTTTTACTTTTTAGTTTTTATTAAAAAAAAGCGATTGTTTTACAAATTTATGGTTTCGGTCGTGATAATTTTTGGTCCAGATCATCTATGAAAAAGAGAAGAAATCATCAAATGCATGTGCAGTACGTCCAGTAACAGCAATTCTTTAATTTCTTTAATCTGTCTTGAACTGACATATGTATGAGGATACATCCATCAAGGAGTATAACCAGTTTATAATTAGATAGATTAAGGCAGCATTTTGAAACAGAATATTTATCTCATATGTTTAAAGTGTTCTTAATTTATTAGATGGGGAAAAGTTGTCAAAAATATTCATGTTGAAGTCGTTTAACAAGCAATACAAATAACTTAATTGAATTGTAATCAATACTTCACTTAACCCTCTTGTGATATTTCAACAATATGTGAGTCAAGAGCTGTTTGGTTCGAATATGTTCAAACTAATTAGTGACCCATTGAGTACAAACTACAGTTGTTGTATGTTTCAATTATTTGATCAGTGATCATCCTTAAGATGCATTTCATACCAATAATAATGCTTTTAAATATATTTCGATTGTTTTTCACATATTTGTTCCACTTAAAAAAGTTGTGTTATTCCTATTTTAAAATATTTGTGTATTTTACTAAACTAGCGTTTGTTATAGTGACTTACTTGGAGTGTGCAATTTATTTACTGTTATTTAACATATTGTGGGTGAAATAAACCAAATAAAAACTTTGTCATAGCCAGTACATAACTTTCATAAAATCGTCTACAAATGTTTTTCTTTTGTTACGCATTTGAAAGCAGCAAATTTACAAAAGCAAGAATTGCTGCTTCCTTTGTAGCTGGAACGCTTAGTAAAAATGTTTTTCTTCTTTTCCTATGCACTCAAGTGTAAAGTAGTAATTCCTAAAAGAACATAAAACTTTAAATTGTTAACATTACGGAATCGTTGTTTTAAGCTTTTGTTACAGCTTTCTTGTGTCCTCTTTTATTTTCATAATAAGATCGATCGAATTTGTGCATAATGTCAGAGGTAGGGCTATAACAACGGGAACGACTGTCTGACAAATTTATGAAGAATTTTTTAAAATTTTAAAACAAAAAAAGAACAAATTATGCAATAAATATAGGCTGCATAAAAGTATGTTTTGACATAAAAATCTTTAACCAAACTGTTCTCTAAAATGGCTCGTTTTAATTTATCGAGAAAAAAATCCTAGAGGGAATTGAGTAAATGATGAAAAATAAATACAACGAAATTACATTTTATATTTAATCACTTTTTAGTGTCAGTATAACATCAATGAAGCAGTGTCTAATTATGAACGGATTCTGGTTACAAACGCCGAGATACACCAAGTCGGATGACAAAGTATTTAACATTTTCCTACAACATATAAATCATTTTTTATACGAAATTGAAATATACAGATAAGATAGTAAGCAAAACTGATAAGTAAAAATTAGATCATAAAGTTTTGATAAAATGCTGATTTTTACTTAATTCAACCACACACAATTTTTACTATAATTGGTTTCACATTACTTGTCATCGGTTCCTCATGATTGTAACTTTCGTCAAAGTTTTATATGTTTCGGCGAGTTGCCATTTTTTAAACACAGAGTCAAGGATTAAACAACAAATCCGCTTGTATAGCTTCTTTGTTGGTTTACACGACACATACATTTAACACACCACACATAAATAATACTTTTAGTTTATTTGTTTATATGCGTTTGTTTCGGGGTTACTACAATGAGTGTAAAGCACCATTTACTTTTTCGTATGTAGATAACCATTGCCACCTCTAATACATTATACATAGTATTAGAGGTGGCTGTGAGATAACCCATTATTCCACCGAGAAATAATTAGGCGAAATACGTTTTGAGTTTGGATGTAATGATACATTTGACCAATGTAAAACGTATTACTAAGGAAAGTATGACGTATATTAAAGTATACTAGTGTCCCTGTTGCTCGAATTCGAGCAATTGCTAAGTATTAAGGCGTTGTTTTAAAACAAATTTCAACCAAGTTAGCAAATGTTTGTAGCAAACTGTTAAATTAGCAAACTTATTCACTGTTTACAATTATTAACATGCACTTCTTCTCACTTTTGATTTCTGACAACAGCTGGAGTTTTATAACAATTTTTGTTTCCAATGTTAATCTTATGGAGAAATACGAAACTTTAAAGGGCTCCAGGGCCTCACTCTCTCAGTATTTCCCTAAAAAGAAAGTTTCCTGCACAACTTCACGTTACGCCCTTTCCAATGAAACCAAAAACATGACAATCGGTTCAGTAGTTTCGGAGGAGTAATTGTCACAAAAAATCTGCTTGCGTATTAAATAAGTATATATAGATTATAAATTTCTAGGTAGTACAACGAATAACAACAAAAATGGTTTTACATTTGAATATGAGTCCCAACGGTTACTACGATAGAGAATAGTTTATTTATTTTTTTTATTCAATATGATTGGACCGGTTTTTGTCTAAAAATATCAAGATAATTAATTAGATTGTTCTTCATTATAATTGTAATTCCAAATATTTTCTCTATTTAAAATAAATGAATCAAAAAGCAATCCATAATAAAATAACAGCGAAATGTTTAAAACCAAATAAGGTTAGGTGACCTAGAAACAGTCGTCCAATCAAGGGACCTAGACTGTGTGTATCACGAGGAAAATTACGTTTATTCAAACTCATGTTTCAATACAATTATTGTATTTGTTTCCTTCTTGCGTACATTTGATGTATTACATTCAATGTAGATCCATTATTTGTATACACTAATCTATAAATAGAATTACAGTTTGGTTTCAGCTTTGTCTAGAATCATGGTTTTGGTTATTTTTACGTTTAAAACGATAAGAAAGCCGAAAGGAGTCTCGTCTCTACTCAAAACCTTTATACTTACAGTATAACTAAATTATGCTTAAAAAACAAGTTTATAGACCAGTGGTTAAGCCATGAAAAATCCAGTTTTGCCATTAAATGTATATCAAATTTCGTAAATGTAAAATGCGTCATTGTCATAGCACCATGACATCAAAATTTCTAAGAAGATGAAACAAAAGAGTCGTAACATGTTTATTGTTTATACAGTATAAGTAGATATAATACCAGAATATGACCCCACTTTCGGCGTTTTAGAGGCACTTTTAGGGCACTTTTTATAGGGGAAAAATGAGAAAAAAATGGAAGAGCTTTTTTTGGCCACTTTTTTTAAAGACCCAGCTCTCGACCTATACACCCCTATATAAATTTTCTACTTTTGTTAATACTAAAAATCACGTCTGGAAATGGTGAGCTTTTTTTGGCCACTTTTTTAAAGACCTGGATCTCGTCTAATACAAGCCTATATAAATGTTCAAACTCCATTAAAATTTCAAATCCACATCCATTCCCATGTATATTTTCAAAATCATGTGAGGTTTGTGCGTGAACTCGGGCATGCTCCCGGCTCATGATGTGCTCCCTTGGACATCCTTAGTGGAAATCCATGAGTTCTGGCTACTTGGGAACCCAAGCCATTTGACATACAACGAATCACCCTTTCTCCTAATTACCTTCTCTACCAAATACATGTCCTTATACTTGGTCTTTAACAACTCCTCTGTATAGAAGCCTCCCCTGATTATATTGCCATTTTCATCTTTCAAGATATAAGTCACAGGCTTTGTATTCTTAACTTCTGCTATTGTAAATAGTTCCCCTGTCCAATTTGGAGTATAACCTTTACTAAAAACATGTTTATACTTGGAAATCCTTACGCTATCACCTACCTTATATCTTGGCTTTTTAACTTGCACTACTTTAGAAGTCAACCTCTCATGCACATATTTACTATTCTTAACATTCACTTGGTTAGGCTTCATTCCTATAGATCTATGCACTTTATTATTATATTTTCGAATTAACTTTGGAAGTAAATCCAACCATTTATAACTCCCCTGAGCACTAAATTCTCTATATAACCAATTCTTTAAAGTTCTCTGAAACCTCTCCACAATTGCAGCCTTAGTTGTAGAAAATGTGTGATAGTG